TCCCCGCCCGCGCCCGCCCGCGCCCGTCCTCCCTCCCTCTGGGCGCGGCCTGTGCGGTGGACACCGGCCTCCCTTTGTGACCCCGGTTGGACCTCTGACGTTCTGCTCCTGCTGTTACTCGATAAAAGCAAATTTCTACCCTGTGGGAGCAGAGCGCTCCGCTCCTGTCATCCCCCCCCAAGCCCTGGGCCTAATGTTAATTTAGGGTTCCTGTGAGTCTGATTATAAACAGCGGGGCCTGGGGAAGGGCCTTCCCCTGACGGCCCGAGCCAGTGGGAAACCAGATTTCCCCAAAGAAAATCAAGGTGCTCTTCACTAGAGAGAAGGCATGGGTGTCAGATAGAGACAGTTGAACTATGTCCTTTTTGTTCTGGTCGGTTGTGGGGCTTGAACTCTGGGCTTGGGCGCTGTCCCTCAGCTCTTCAGTTCAAGGTGAGCTCTCTACCACTTGAGCCACAGCACCACTTCCGGTTTTCTAGTGATTTATTGGAGACAGGAGTCTCACAGACTTTCCTGCCCAGGCTGGCTTTGAACCAAGATCCTCAGATCTCAGCCTCCTGAGTAGCTAGGATGACAGGCGTGAGCCACCCGCACTTGGTGTGTGGATTTTTTTTTAAGTGAACACATTAGTAAATGACTTCCAAAAGAAGTCATTCAGTGGACCATAGCAAGAATTTGGATATTTATTCAGACATGTGAATCTTATGTTGATTTTCTGCCAGGGCGACTATACTTAGTCCTTGAGGGGGAAAGGCAATAAAAAGAAGTGTCTGGCTGGGCACTGGGGCTCCCTCCTGTAATCCTAACTACTTAGGAGGCTAAGATGTGAAGTTCATAGCAAGTGGCATTGTGGCTCAAAGTGGTAGAGCTCTGTCTAGCCTTGAATGTAAAAGCTCAGGGACAGGGCCTAGTCCCAGAGTTCAAGCCCCACAATCTACAAGAAAAAGAAGAGAAGTGTCTGTTCTTAAGTTCCTCACAGGATGGGGGTAGGTCTCACCAGACTCAGTAAGTCTAGAGCAGTGTGTGAAGAACACAGACATCAGGGGAAGTGGACATCAGGCATGAGTTGGCTTTTGCTCAAGCCTAGTGCTCTACAACTTGAGCCACAGTGCTACTTCCAGCTTTTTTGTGTATGTGGGACTGAGGAATCAAAGTCAGGGTTTCATACATGCTAGGCAAGCCCTTT